AATTATTCATGTGGGTAGAGACAAGGCTGTGAGGATCTTTCTGCACACTAATTACATCTATTTCAGCGCTGCTCATGCCAGGGGATTTTTCCTTGCTGTTTCAGACTTTTGTGAAGTTTGGCGACTGACTACGTGCGTTTGTTGTTTCTGTGTGTCAAATCAGACACAGAAGCATTAAAAAAACCCCGGCCTCACCATGTGAAATTCAATATAATATCACCACAGTCTTTGCTTTCCCATTTTCAGAAGTTAAGTGTTGCCACTGCTGTCAGCACAAGCACACCTCAGCGCCCTAGCTCTGCCTTTACAGGAAAACAAAAATATTTTTTTTTAATTATAATAACTGACAATAGTTTCTTTAAATGTGGGTCACTGGGCAAAGCATGCTTAATGCATTTCGAGCCGATTACTATTTTCTCACTCATGATGCATAAAGTTGTACTCAGTGTCGAAAAATGAAAGCCCTCCTACACAACACATCCAAACTCCACTCTGTTTTTTCCACTGGGTCAAACAAGAGATTTCAAACTTCACCCAAACCTTATGTGTGAGATGGAGCTACAGAGACAGCACAGGAACAAGTTACTTCAAGTCTACAGAGAAGAACTGAAAGAAATCCACCCTGCAACTCCACAAACAGGAGGGAAAACACAATGATGGCCAGCACAAAACAGGCACTCATTTCATCTGACTCTAAGGTGCAGCAAAAAGCCAAGTAAAGAGCACAAATAAATGTTGAGCTCAACACAAGGATTAATTCTGTGATTCATTCACATAATTGTGTGTAAGAGTCGGACTAGCAAAACCTGCTCATGATTATTTCCAGGTTCTGCCCTGGACTGCAGTGGTGTTTGCCATTTAGTGCTGTGTTTACATGGTAAGGGATGGATCAGACCAGAGGAGAAGCATCTGAATCATTGGCACTGCATTCCATTTTGTGCTGAATCATATTCAAGTTTCGTTTTCGGTTCAGGGGTTACCAGAGAGTGCACAGCTCAGACTTCAACTGCCTCCAGAACAACTGGGACCTGCACAAGTATGAATCTCAAAAAAAACTATATGCTTTATCTCTGGTGAGTGTAACTTTCAGTTGAAATTGTTAGATTCTAGCAAACCTTTTCCATGCCTCCTTAAAACAAATGATACCCCAAATGCTATCATCAGACAGATTAATTTTACATTTAAGTAAACAAGATGTTCTTTTTGCTGTCTCTATGAAGACTTTCCTTGTTTTATGCATGGTTTTGGTTTTTTTTTTTTTAACAACAATGCAATGGCAGAACGACATGTGACATTTTCTCCCCTAAATGGTACCTGCTGAGAAAAATTCCACCATTAGAAGTGGCCCACGCTAACATTTAAATGTTGATAATAATTAGCCTGACATTTGAAATACAGTGGTTGCACTGTTGTCTTGAAGATGTTCTGCTCAACATTACCTAACTAGCCCCTTTTCATACTTACGTGCTCTCTGTACATTATTCTGTCAGTTACTGAACAAATAAGACATCAGTTGCTAATGTATTAACATGCAAAAACTACGCTTAAGGGCCAAACACTGCCCCCAGTCCACAATGTAACTCCCATTGATGTCAAGTACTGTTAAGGTTGTGACAACCAGTAAAAGAAGGGAGCTGAAAAGTAGGGGATCAATTTTCTCCCTGATCTGCAAGGAATTTATGCAAACGGCTCCCTGCAGAAGGAGGGATGGGAAAGGCGGCGGCGTGGGTCATGCCACCGGATGGGAGCTGCTGGCTTCCTCCTGCTCTGGCCCATTGTGCCCAGCCTCAGCCACAGCATCTTAACCTTTTGGGGAGTGCCCAGTCACCTCAGGTGTGCTGGAAGGTCAGGTCCCATCGCTCCCTGCTCTTTATGCAACATAAAAGTAGGTGGCTGCTAAAAAGCGGCAATAATTCGCAGAGCAAGCTGAAAGCGAAAGTATCCACGGGAAGACAAAAATATGCCTTTCTCATCTTTGGGTGATGAAGAATTGCAGGCTCCTCATACAGACAGCTCTGCCCAGGAGAGGCCAGTGGGATGACCAGAGGAGAAATCACAGGATAAGTCTCAGGAGCAGCAGGCCTGGAACCAGGAGAGAGGAAACTCCTTTCTTCCAACTGGTTCCTGGACATACCAAGCCATGAGCATGGTGTGTGCAAATGATTGAGGGAAAAAAGACTTACACATGGCTAAATTCTGCATGCAGACAGCAAAATACTTTTCTATGCTTTCTTAGATAACAGAACCCTGTAATTCTCACAACACAGTGGAGCACATTAACTATAAATGATACAGTCTAAGAATGGAGTAATAGCATTGCCCCTGCATTTCCTTGCTTTTGTCATCTCCAGATTCTAACCAGAGAAGGCCTTACCTGCTTTGTGTGAGCGTGTGGTTGCCATCTCCTCTGTTCTATTACTAATGAGTGTCTCTCATCCTAAGAGAAACGAGGATGATACAAGTGGTGGCAACAGGAAGCTTAGGGTACACCCACTCCTTT